TCAGTCTGTCAGGACCTGATATAAAATGCACTAAGGTACTACAACAATATTACCTAATTTGCCAACTACACAGCAAGAGCAGGCTATGTAAATTATTGGCATCCTGAACACTAATTTCACACCTTTTGGTTACAATGGACGTAATATTTACTTTGGTTAATATACAAGCAATAAAATTATATAAACCAAATGCAAACTGCTTGAACTAAGGAACATGGATGTAAAACACAGATCCTTGTTAAATTTTGTTACTAAGTTTAAAACCGCAAAATACTAACAATGCAAGAGATACATTTTTATGCGTCACGTTACATCTAGAATATTTGTTCACTGCTTCGCTTAAATACATGTATAACACTGTCTGTAATCTTTCCCAAAACTTATAGAGACAAGGTCTGCTAACAATAAATTATTCCCTACACAACAACACAAATTAGTAGGCAATACATTTCCTTAGTTGAGTACTTAAAAAAAAAAAAACTTTTAAAAATGCACTTTTAGTTATATGAACAAGACTTAACAAAATAACATTTAGAGTGACTGGAGAACGAGTACAACTTACTTCTTCCTGACTTAAATTGATGCAAAAATTTACAAGTTACAGGCTTCAAGCTTGCCTGAAATTAGTCTGGAAGAAATATCTTAATCTGATGAACACTGAGCTCAAAATCTTAAACCTCTTTTACATGCTTCATGGCACCTTCAAGATATTGACATCAATCAACTGTAAGGACAATCGACTGAAAGAACTATAAATACATAGGGATGAAGGCTTCTTGAACCTTGCAGGCATTTCAAAAGTGCTCAAGTAGGAACATCGTAACATTACATTACAAGCAAGTTGTAACATTCTGCTATTTTTTTGTTAGCCACTGAAAGACAAAAAGAAGGGTGAATTTGATTTGCAATAATTCAGCTTTATACATGTAAAATCACACAATCAACTCTCTCTAAGATGGACGCTGTTGGGGCAGCCTCAACTGTCCATCTTGGAGAGGTGTCTGTCTTGCGTCAAGGTAACATACACAACAGCCAGAAAGTCTCAGATAGCCAAGTTGAACCTACCCTGTATGCACAATGATACACGTGAAGATAAGAGCTGTCAGGTGAACGCTTGGATTTAAACAGGGAGACACGTATTGGTTATGTTACAGTATACGAATTTTGCTTCCCCAAATCATAATTTGCTGAACAATCAGCACTTACATTTCCGTTTTGAATTATTTCTCAGTAAAAAAAAAAGCATGAGTTCAAGTGCTCAAGTTGTGACACAAGAGGGAACTGAAAAGTTGACAAGTTACCAGTAATAGTGTTCAAACTAACCCATATTTCTTTGATTAAGGACTGCCCAAGAGGGCAATTTGTGGTTTTGACATGCACGGGTGCCTTACTTTCCATTTCCAATTTCAAGTTAGGTGGTTTGCGAGTTACTGTGCACTGCTCAATTGAGACTGGGCACCTTAATAAAGGAAATACAGTGCATGACTGTATACCCTAAATTATGGATATTTAAGTTCAAATGCAGAAGAAGAATGTTAGAAAATGTTAGAAGGTCATACCGAGTATAGCGAACCAAATGTTATCAAAATAAAAATGATGATAAAAACAAGCCTTAAATTCAACAAAAACATATTATCCAAAGGTGATGTGTGACACTCCACCAGGTGGGGCGTGAACTTTGACAGATGTATGAGATGGTTCTTCAGAGCTTCCCTGGCCAACGATTATATCACTTCCTTTCCTCGGAGGTGGTTTAGACTGTTCTGTAGGTTCCTTAAAAAGCGACGACTTTTGACGTGCTTCCTGGTGAGGGTTAACCACATGGGGCTTCCGTGGTTCAGGCTCAAATGGTTTTTGCACTGGAGCAGGTGGACTCGAGTCACCAAAGACACTGGAGGCTTGTCGTCTTTGCTGACTTTGNTACGTGGCAACAACAAAATATCATTGCCTCATATCATCTTTTGCATAACAAGTAGACCATTTTCTCTTGTGCAACATGAAGAGACAATGAATTTAAATTTGCTTGCTTCAAAAGAAAACAGACAATAGGTAGCATAGTTTACGTGACTGAAATCTTTAAACACACAGGCCAATTAATTGTACTTCAATCTGAAAATAAACTTCAAAGCTTAATTAAATTTACTGCTAAACCTATAAAGCTTATTTGCAAACTGAGAAAAATATAACCTTCAATAAACGGTTAAGACACTTTGTGAAACCGTTTTCTAGAAAAGAAAACGTCATCTTCTATTCAAATTCAAATTTTTTCCAGTTAGTTAGACATTTGGCTTTGCGGATTCACAGCCTTTTGTGAGCTTGAATTGAGGTATTTAAATATTTAGCCGTCGATTTTATAAGCTTGTAAGATTAATATAAAATCTAGAACATAATTTTGAGGCTCTAGAAATATCAAAACAGATATAAAAACACTGACTTCATCCAGCGTGAGGCCAGGCAGGGAGGCAAGTGTCAAATTTGGCTTAAAAATTGTTAATAATTTATGGCTTCGTGGATCGGCCCTATTATGAATGCGCGCCGCGTACAAGCTCTGCTTCCTAAAGCAGTAATCGCTTTATTTCAAAGTACGAAAAGTTGAACATGATATCGAGATAAAATCGCTTTTGAACGACCGTGAAATGCGGTAAAATGTTTACGTCTGAGAATTCGACGAATTCATGTTCTAGTTTTAACACAAAGCGATCTATTGATGGTTTTATTATGAACGAACAGCGTGTACGCAAAACAGAGAAGAAAAAAACCCGCGGAAAGGTTGTTCGCATCACTTATCACAACACGACCATCACGAAAACTAGAAGTTGGATGTAAACTTTAAATACATTTTCTGTGATTCACCCAACTTGAAAAATGCCATCTTCCTAGGACTGCAAAGCGACAATGGGCAAACTGTTAGGTTTAACTTTCATGAAAGTTTATGATTACGGTGAAACCGAGCCAGAAATACTGGAACAGGTATAGCATTAAGTAAACATGGTTTGACGGCAAGATTGCGTCAAACCAATAGTGAAAAGTTTAACAATGATTTTAAAAAACAAGGAAGGCTCGCTTAAATCTTTTAAACAGACAGAAGACAATACGCGAAGGTCAAAACAAATGAGAAGGACACGCTTCGTTTTCAAACTACATACGAAGGTCTGCTTCGCGAAACGCGCGTAGAAAAGATAAATACAACTTACTTTGTCGATATGTGGCTTCCGTCCGTAAGACCGACTTGGTTTTCGCAACTAGTCATGGTTTCTTTGGCCAAAATACTGAGCTTTTGACGCTCTCCAGTGAACCGTTTGAAAACTCCCTCGTAAATTCGACTGCACTTCGGCCGGCGATACAAAATTTATGACAGGAAGTAACGATAATCAAAACATCGAGTTTCCCGGATGAAAGCAAACCAGCTCAAAAACTTTCAAATAGACGTCGTTCCCTCCGCTTCTCTGATTGGTCCGTTTCGTTTATTGCCGCGATGTCATTGGTCGTTCGGAAAAGATTGACTTTCAAGCCACCGCATGGTCGCAAGACTTCGTCTTTCGGCGGGATTTTCCATTGTCGAGTGTTGTACTTTTTCTTTTCTTTTCTGACTTTCGTACGTTGCACCTTTTCGCTGCTTAGACGGGGATCTTAAGCCTTGAACATGGGAGCTGAGTGTGGTTTTCAAACGAAGCAACAGCTAAACGAGTGTATTTTGCGTTGCCCGTGGTCGGAGTTTCCACTTCCTCTTGTTCACAGAGCATGTAGGGACGGTGATCTTCTCAGTTTGACCTACTTGACTGTTCAGGGAGACAAACTTGCAGTTTTTCGATCCATTAACGCCCAGGACCAGTTCTTAATGTGGACACCTGCACATTGGGCAGCCTACTTTGGAAAGGTTAGGATAATTTCTGGGTAAAGCAATGGAAATTTTGTTACTGGAGATGATTTGACTTGTGCGAAAGTCAATTGGTTTCTTTTCTATTTCCTTGAAGATTCTTACATAGTTCTTTACTTTCTAGGCCTAGCCATATTATTTATTTTCATATCTGTATTTAGTCTTTTACTTTAGCCATATTATTTCTTTCCATATCTGCATTTAGTCTTTTACTTTAGTTAAAAGCGCTACGACCGGCCGGCCGGTTACTTTCGAGCAACTTTTATATCCGTGGTAAATATAAGCTCTTGAAACTCACAGAAAACTCCATCTGGTAGGTTCGTTCCAACAACAAGGCTATAATTTGTTACCTATATTCTTGAAAACTAAATAGAGATATTGAAATATAGTGTGACCTTCAAAATATCGTGCGAAGCGACACTTCAAGAAGGCACTCGCGTGAATTTATTTTTGTTTTCGTGACTTGGTCTAGTCCGATATTCGCGCATGATCTCTGTTCCTCCAACTGTGGCCGATGTTTTTAAAGATCACATGAGTTTTCCAAGCGATAGGCATAAGATAACAATCCACCGAATGGTTTTTCTTTTACTTTTGGCCTTGAAATTTGTCTGCAATATTGTTGTTGTCTATACACTATTTTCGATGTAATGCCGTGATGCCCGGCGTATAAATGGTATCCGATTAATTTCGGTTGCTATCAACAAGTCGAAGTGACGCTCAAAAATTTCTCACTGTGTTTTGGTTAGAGACGCAGGTTCTTGAACACCTTCCCTTGTACACACGTTTCAAAGTTGCCAAAGATCAAACCCAGTAAATTTGCTCATTTTTTGCATTTGTTTACTGGTTTACTGCAAATATCATCCAACCTTTTCAGAATAACTCTAAATCACAATGATATATTATTGTCTGGGTGAAGCAGTAGCGGTGTATATTTTGAAGAAACATGTAAATATCAATATAACTCTATAAGATGCTGGTTTATATTTTTCCGGGTGTAGTTCAATGTGCAACAATATTACAGACTAATACAGCGCAAATCAGAAAAGCTTTGAACAATAGATATGCTTATGGGAATGCTAGCGAAAAAAAAAACCCAGTCAGATGTAAAGTGATAATTATCCTTATGGAAATAATAGTAATGCTATTATTAACTGAAGTTTTATCTAAATCTATATGAGTCTTTTTTTCATCTACATGAATTTCTTTAATAATACTGCATTACTGGCTGAAGTTTCATCGATATCCACATGAGTTTTTTGTGATAACCATAATAATCAAAGGTTGAGGTTGATAACTCTTACCAAGGACTTGATTATTTGGGACATAATTCACATAAAAAAGTGCATTTAGTCTGAACAGTGAAAAGAGATTTTATTTATTGCCATAACGTTTGTCCCTTTCCTTCATCTTCAGATATTCTTTTGCTACTTCTGTGGATTTTTGTATATTTTCCAATCGGAATATTGGCAAACATCGAGATTTTCTGTAGAATTTTTGTAGTAGAGATGTGATGGAAACGGAAAAAACCTTGGTAACTTTTTATGCAACTTGGCTTGACAGGTGACAAATAACCCAGGCTGTAGCTATGAGACCACTCTTGAATGGTGGTAAAAGGATCTGCAGCTCATGAAATAAAGATTGAGACCTCAGTGTAAAATAATCTTGTACTTTGAAATGTTTTTCTGGTCTGTTGCCACAGAATTAACATGTTAAAGTTTAATCTAATTTTCATTCCTTTTGGAATTCTCACAGTGAAACATTTTACATTGTGGAATACTGAATGATTTATTTTTCACATCCTTTTACTGTTCCTAAGCCTGTCAACATGTTTTTCATTGTTCTAAGTCAAGGGAGAATTAGATGAGTACATTGGATAATAATATTTATGGTACTTGCTTACTGGTGCTGAGAAACGTTTTTTAGTTTGTCAGTTTCCAACAAAGTGATTCCCTTTGCAAAGGGTGGTCTGATTATGGCCAACCTGTAACATGGCACTAAGTTGAGAATTAAACTTGTTTTCTAGATTGATTGTGTGAAGCGCCTGGTAGAGTGTGGCTTGAACATCAATGTACCTGAAGGGAGGTTTGAACAGTCTGCAACACATCTTGCAGCTTTTGCAGGCCATGTCAATGTTCTCCAATGGTTACTTGAGAATGGTGCTTTTCCACAGAAAGTAGTAAGTATATTTATGTCAGTGGTGACATTGTATTTGTTTAGACTGTTTACTCATCACCCATTAGAAATAGAGCACTAGCGACACTGTGATATGAAAAGGCTTCATGAGGTCAAATCTCTTAGAAAAAAACAATAATGGTTGCAATCCAATTTAAGTGTCAGTGGGAAACACATGAAAAGGGTTTGCTAGAGACCATCTGAAAGGCAATTTGATGTCAGTGAATAATTATTATATAGTCTGCTTGAGAAACAAGGTTTCTTTTACAAGACTTCTTTTTGGTTGATAGGTCATTGAACTCCTAATTTCACTATTATTATTCATTTACTATGTAAGTGTATCCATTTGATCCTTTAGGACAACCTTGGAGAAACGCCAGCACATAAAGCAGCCCGAAGTGGTAACACCCAGTGTTTGAAGTTACTGCAGGCATTTGGAACTCCTCTAAGGTAATAAAAAACAATTATACAGTTAATCCTCTCTGTAGTAATCACTTTGGTGATAGACTTAGGTGGCCACTGAAGACTGCTTAGATTGCTTTAGGGAGATTGTTTGACAGAGTGAAATCACTGAGGTGTACATTCAGCAGTAGGCCATACTTATATTCTTGGTATTGGACAGGAACCAGCTTACAACAGAGGCTAATGCGGGGAGTCTATTCAAATGGAAATGACTTTTGTCTCTTTTTAATGATTATATTTCCCTGCACAAGCCTCCATTGTAAACTACAACGGGTGACAAAAGTAGTTGAGAAACTTTAGGAAACAACGCTTCTCGAAATTTGGCGCCAAAACCATTGGTTTTCGTTGTCTTACGGTCTTTGTTTGTTCCAGGCTTTCTCTGACTTACATGTACTGGAAGAAAGAAACACTTGAAAAATTGAAATGTGGAAATTGTAAATCAAAGTCTAAATTTCGTTTTTCTAAATTGTAGAAAAACGGTTGGCACTCAAGTACACGCATTGTTAAGTCCAGTAGACTACACATCTGACCACTTCTGGGGAGGGGATTTGGGAAAAAAATTTTGTGCAGGATACTTTTAGTTGCAAACAAGTAATTACAGTCAATTTGTTTTCAACCTTTTTTCAGCACATTTAACATGTACCGCCAAACCCCCTGTGACCTTGCTTCATCTCTTGGATATGAACAATGTGTTCAGTTCCTGAGAAGTCACAGCTGTGCCACAGGTAATTGGTTTATCAAATGTATTTACTGTCTTAGCAATCAGACAGCTTTGATTGAATTGAATACAAGAGTGATATTTTTAAATGTCTCCAGTTTTAATGCTAAGTTCTTTCTTAAATGTACTTGCAGTTTCTAGTCAGAGAAAAAGTAAAAGATTGCTTGATGATGGAGGTTACACAGACCAAGTAAAAAGGCCAAGAAATGGTTAGTTTATTCTGGAACTGCTTTAACCCCAATACTGAAATATCACTGCATCAAACGTCTTCTTGAGAAACTGTTTTTTTTTTTNTGGGAAACAACGCTTCTCGAAATTTGGCGCCAAAACTATTGGTTTTCGTTGTCTTCCGGTCTTTGTTTGTTCCAGGCTTTCTCTGACTTAGATGTACCAGAAGTAAGAAACACTCAAAAAATTGAAATGTGGAAATTGGCATCCAAATTTCAATTTCCATTTTCCATGAAAATTGAAAATTGAAAATTGGTATCAAATTTCAATATTCGTTTTCTTGTAGATTGAAAATTGAAATTTGATGTTTAATTTTCAATTTTTGTTTTCTTGGAAATTGAAAATTGAAAATCAAAGTCTAAATTTCATTTTTCTAAATTGCAGAAAAACAGTTCACACTCAAGTACACGCATTACTAAGCCCAGTAGACTACACATCTGACCACTTCTGGGGAGGAGAGTTGGGAAAAAAATTTTGTACAGGATACTTTTAGTTGCAAACAAGTAATTCCGGCAGTCAATTTGTTTTCAACCTTTTTTCAGCACATTTAACATGTACCGCCAAACCCCCTGTGACCTAGCTTCATCTCTTGGATATGAACAATGTGTTCAGTTCCTGAGAAGTCACAGCTGTGCCACAGGTAATTGATTTATCAAATGTATTTACTGTCTTGGCAATCAGACAGTTTTGATTGAATTGATTAGAATAGTGATTTTTTTTTTAATGTCTCCAGTTTCAATGCTACGTTCTTTCTTAAATGTACTTGCAGTTTCTAGCCAGAGAAAAAGTAAAAGATTGCTTGATGATGGAGGTTACACAGACCAAGTAAAGAGGCCAAGAAATGGTTAGTTTATTCTGGAACTGCTTTAACCCCAATACTGAAATATCATTGCATCAAACGTCTTCTTGAGAAACTGTTTTTTTTTTCCCTTTGCAATGGAAGGAATTTGTTAGCTGTAAATATTTAGAAACCGAGCAATTGGAGCATAGTATTGGTTTTAGGCACAAGGCTATAAAGTGATAAAGTCATCCTCGGGGAACATATTCAGATGGCAAAAGTCTTCAGTTGCTTTAACATTTTCAATTGGATGCGTTTGACAAAGAT